TATGATGCCGCAGAATATTATTATTTCGGTAATTTTAATCGTTCAAATAACAAACGTTTAAAAGATCGCTCAGAAGTTTTATTATGGGAATATATGCACATACCATATAGCTATTAGGTAACATAGTGACGTTACTACGGTAAGAATTGTGCTAGGTGGCTATGATATTTTCGTAGAGATATCCACACACTTAACTCCTATTTGCTAAAAATTTAATGAACATTTTTTGAGGGGCAGAGGATTTAGACCTGCCAACTCGACTTGCAGGAAGTTGTGGGTTTGATTCTCGCCGGGTGCCCTGTGTGCTGTAATCGTTAAAAATTTTTTTATAAGTTATAACTTGGTTGTAACCTGATCGAATTGCCTTATGAAGCAGTGGCGAAATAAAGAATAATAAAAAAAAACGATAAAAGTAATTTTATTTTTTTGTTTTGTATTACTAAAGTTCACAATTTTAAAAATATAATCTCAAAATTCGCATGTGGGGGTTTTCGTAGATGAAAAATTAGATGGCGCAGTTAGTTTTGCGATAACTTGTACATGGCGCCACCAGCAAACATTTTTTTGCAAAACTACTATCTTTTTTTTTTGTGTATATTCTCAAATTTTAGTTCTGATAATACAGGGAAACTAACTAAAAAGTAAAATTGCATATCTAGTAATATACTTCTTTTTGAAATAAAAATATCTGGTAATAAATTAATAATTTTCAAGAAGCAATGTATATCGGATTGGTAGGTAAAAATGTAAATATCTTGAAAACGCTTTTAAATAGTAATATCGAACAATAAAGCCTTTTTTTTAGAAAATACAAGAAAATGGTGAAAATAAGCAATTTTGGCACACAGTATGCAATGACTAATAAATAAATTAAAAATTGTGATCTCTGATTAATTTAAATCAAGTAAAAACTCTCAATTAAATATTATATTATGTAGAAAGTTTTATAACATAAACGCCACTTTAGTCACGAGTTTGTTTAGACACGAGTGAAGAGCAGCTATTTTGCAATAAGCTCTCTGAAAATAATATGGAAAAGTAACCATATATCTGTGCCCTATATCAATAATTAGGGAGACGATTTTTGGGTACATTTTGAAAAGAACACTTTATATGAACATATGTCCTAAATGTCTTAACTTTTGAGATATAGCATGGTACAATTTTCAAAAATAAAATATATACCTTTTTATTTCTGTAATACCGCTTTAGATCTTTTAATGAAATTTGTATCAAGAGGCATTATATTGCGTAGATACATCGCACTGAAAAAATTAAGAAAATAATTTTCTTTAGAAATGACTGTAAGAATATGGTTTATTTGAATGTTTATTTTAAGAGAAATCAGTGACGTACCAACAATGTCTGCCAAAATAGACAGGTGAAATTTCGTACGCCCGCCGCTGGTGTATTTAAAACAAAAATGTGGTACAATAAATAATGCCTTTTGTTACATAGTTTTATTTAAAAAATGTATTTTATTTTTATCTCCCGGATTCTCGAAAAGTTAAGTCATATGTTCATATGAAGTTTTCTTTTTAAAATTTATCCAAAAATCGTCCCCTTAATTATAGCCATTCAATTGGAAAACACCCCTTATACAGGGTGTCTAAATAGTATGTCAGAGTAATATATCTGATTTATTATTTGTTTTAGGAAAAATGTCAAATGCAGAAGTTATAGATAAGATGAAAATAAACAATTAAGGAAAAAACAAATATACAGGGTGATTCAACCTAACATACATTTTCCAATGAAATACCGTGTATATTATTGCATTCCCAGATATTCTCTTTTATCCAATGTAGGGCTGTTATGGTCTAACCGAGGGGTTTCGGATTTATGACCATTTTTTAATCAATATTTTATCAATATCCTATTCTTATTCTCTCTAAAATTAGATCCTTAGAATAAAATCCTAATAAAAATGGTATCCCACATAAAGCAAAATTTCTAAAAATAAAAATTCTAGAAATAATTGGTATTTGAATAATTAATCTTCCTATATAACGAATATCTTGACATCCTCCAAAATTATGAATAATAATTCCTGTACATATAAACATTAAAGCTTTAAACAAAGCATGAATTAATAAATGAAAAAAAGCTAAATCTGCTCTCCCCAAAAATAAGATTCTTATTATAAAACCCAAGTGTCTTAATGTTGGTAAAGCAATAATTTGTGTGGTGTTTGATACCCTATATTTTTGACGCCGTTTGCGACAGGTGTAATTTTATTATGCCAAGAATTTTATAAAGTCATAGTACTTGTTGTGAAGTTTTAATTTAATCAATAATTTCCGCATTACGTTTTGTATTAATATGTAACGAACGCTATTATATAAAAGAATTATACTTAATTGGCCTCTGTACACTTTTCACGCCAGGCCAAACAGAATTCTATCAGAGAAACAATCCGGATTTCAGTCGGGATATAGCTGAGAGAGTGCTTTCGCCGATGTAACGGACGATTTATCCAGAGCAGACTAATTCTAGATATTAGTTTTTTTTTCTTTGAAAAATTCTAGGTGTTAGTTTTTTTTTGACATGCTCAATCATGAGCTTATGCTTGATAGTTTAAAATTCATTGGTTTAAATGATAATGCACGAAACCTCTTAAAATCCTTTCTATCTAATAGAACACAGCGAGTTATAATAAAGGACATATGTTCACTACGGGTTGCAGTTTCTTCAGGACTGCTGCAGGGCATCTTGTGTCCTATTTTGTCTACTATTTATACTTCTCAGTTTCACATGTCGCTAAATCACGTTAATTATCTTCAATGACGTTCGGCAAAGTAGTGAACATATAAATTCTGATTTAAATAACTTCTATAATATTGCTACGGATTATCTACTCAAAATTAATCATACTAAATCGGCTGCTGTAATTTTCGGAAACGATGTTCAAGTTGAAAATTCAAAAAATCAGCTCTTATTAACAATTAATGATTCTCCAAGGGAATTTTATGATTACAGTAAAAACCTGGGTTTATTCTTGGATTCTAAACTTCGTCTCCGCCGGAAAACTTAAAAAAGCTTATGGTTTGTCCAACTTTTCTTATTTTTCTGCTTTTATTAATACCTTTTCGCTTTTACTTCCATTCTTTTATTTTTTATCATTTATTTACCTACTATATAAGGCTTATCTGGAACTGATTTTTCATTTTAAATGAGGCTTTAACGGTATCTGGGTTTTGCCTGGAAGGCTGCTATTTATTTGAAGCCTTTTGAGGCATGTTTTCCTAATTTACTTACACTGATGTATATCTATTGTACTTTTTCATGCTGTTAGCAATAAAAGTTTTTATTATTATTATTTGATTTTTTGAAGAAAATTAATGTTTTTTATTTTGGCTTACGCAATATAAATGATGCGAACTAACTTCAAGACAATCATGGACCGTACCACTTTATTATATTCTTGGCATAATAAAATTGCAGCGTCAAAAATGTAGGGTATTAAACACAAGGCATTTGTGACGAAAAAAGGACATAAATCCGAAAACACTCAGTATAGACCATAACAACCCTACATTGGATGAATATAATGAGTATACAAGGGAGTGTCTATTAATGCCATAATATACGTCGTGATCCATCAAAAATATATAAGTTTGAATTCCTATATAGTTATGTATATTTCAAAATAATTTTAAATTGTTTCTTTTAATCTCATCTACAACTTTTGTATTTATTTTTCTCTTTTTTTTAGAGTACGTTTTTGACGCTAGTTGACAATTTTGAAATTGTTTAATATTTTAAATTGCTTTAGGTTTATATAATTCAAGCATAATTTATTAATTAGTAATATATCATATATATTATATATTATATTTATAAGGTTTTTAAATGCTATTAAACATTTATCTCATCGAACATCTTGATGGAAAAATGTGTTGGGTCGAGAAAAATGGATGCTTTTAACAGAATCTGCCGTACACGTGTATACGTGGTCTCCAAAAATGATTAATCCTGGAATTGCGTTTGAGATTTTCAAAGTAATTTTCCCATTAATTTAAATTTTCTATTTCCGGGTAACGGAAAAAACAACTTTAAATTGCTTGGAATTGAGTTTTCATGTTTCCGATGCATGCGAGAAAAGTTAAATTAAGCATTGTATATATACAATAGCAAATATAGTCAACATTTCCAATAACGAAATCTTGTTTTAAGTAATGCCGCAAATGTAACAAAACGTTGAGAAAGTAAATCGCCAAAGTACGGAACCATAAAATCGACTTAATTTTACATACCTCAATAGCGTGGAATGATTTTAAATAGCTAAAAGTTAATGTATTTAGTTTTGGTTAGGTCAGTTTGAAGTATTTTTGCGCTCAGACTTTCCACTACTGCAATTTTTTTTTATGATCCGCATCACATGCTGATCAAAACCGCAGCCTTTCTTATAATTTGCACGTATAACTGCGTTTTGTTTTTATATTTTTTGGTGACTTTTTGGTTTTGTTTGTTTCACCGGAAAGGTTATTAAACCTCTTTTGATGCTGGGCAGGTTTCCTTGAAAAATGTAATCGACATTCTATAGGCGCTGGAAAAAAACTATTTTAGGGTTGTTAGGGTATTTTATATTTATATTTTATATTTAATTTTTTATAATTATGATACGCCACTAATTAAATTTAGATTTAAAAGATAACAAAATCCATAATAAAAAATGTATTTGAAACTTTTTCTTTTAAACTTAATTAATTAAGTTTATTTGAATTTTTACATTACTTTTTTAATAATTAATTAATTAACATCGTTTCGTGGCACATAAATTTTTGGCGTTACAATATAAACTCCCAAAAATTCGTTTTTATTATATTATTCTCACAAGATTGAATGGGTTCCATGAAAATATTGTTGTAGATTTGGCAAGTTATATAGAAAATGGCATTAGTTTCGCGGTTTCAGATATTGCTTAACCGATATTATATAAAAAATACAACTTCGTGATAGTGAGTTTTCTCGCTTCAGATGAGTGTCCATTGGGTACTATGCCTTGCAACAATGAAGAAAAGTGCATACAGCAAAAAGACGTTTGCAACAGTTATCAAGATTGCACTGATGGTGAAGATGAAGATCCTGTTTTATGTGGTACCTACATTATAATAATGTTTGTTAGAATATCGTTGTATTATCTATTATTTCAGCTGATCTTCACGGGAGTACTTATCTGGTCGACTCGGAGATAAATTCTATCATCGAACAGTCTTTAACGATCCATCAGAAATTTAACATCTGTGGTCAGTTCAACCGGAAGCGGAAATCTGTCTTCTATTGTCCTTTTTTTTCTAGATGTTGATTTCTATCCTACTCAATGTATATGCAGATTTGTGGACAGAGTATATTGTAACGATGCTGAACTAACGGAAATACCTCCAAACATTTCAGAGAACGTCAAGTATTTGTAAGATAATCATTCTTTTTGTTGTTTACAAACTGGAGGGAAAAGTTCTACAAATCTTTTCTTGAATTATGAAGCAAGAAATTGTGAACCTCATTACATATTCAAACGTGTAGCGTTGTAACGTCTTCACGACTTCACATGTCTTGATGTTAATACGTACCTATCCTGCAGTTAGAAACAAAAAAAAGCTCGTTTGAATTTTTAATTACAGAATACGATTAACACGAACTTATGAAAGAAGCGCGAAAACGAAAGTCTTATTCGAACGTAAAAAAAAGTCCCTCAAATTTTTCTACTGAATTTATAAACAAGTTATAATTCACTTGTATTCGAAAACAATGCGAAATGGGTATAATAGATATAGATAATACATTGTAGGTCAGCTATTGTTCTATTCGAAGGTATAATTAAATATAGTGCAGCCATAAAAAAAGATTTCATCACTTTTAGATTTGGAAAAAAAAAGAATATTTTTGTTACATCCTATATAACGTACAACCAATATCATGTATGCAATGAATTGTCCAACCTGAATATTTTTGCAATACTGTTTGTTATCTATAATGGCCGTCTACCAAATTTGATGGAATTTGATTGTTCATTCATCAGAACCTGAGTGCACCCCGTATAACCCGTAGGTTTACGTCAATCGATAAATTTTATTTTACCTGTAATTCGTAGCATATTTTACTTTTGCTAAGACTTCACTGTTGTGCATGATGAGTGTCAAGGTGAAGTTTTTTAAATAAATAAGAATAGCTACTTTTTGACAATATTTACAAGACCTTTTTTTAATCCCCATAAAGGAATAATTGTGTCATTACTGCATAAAGCCAAACCCATCAAACCGTCTCCCATCAAAATCTACCCAAGCAAGGTTAAGTTTTTACCTCTTTTTATTATATTTTAGGGGCTTGGCAAATAATAACATCGAATTTTTATCGACCATTGCTATGGATCGATACAATTTGAAGCTATTGTAAGCTATCTGTGGAATTAGTAGATAAGATACATACATATATCACTTTGCAGATTTTTAGAAGCCAATAAAATTAGTTTCTTGCAATCAAATATATTTAGACTCCAGGAAAATATGGAAAAATTGTAAGTCAGCTGTTCTTGAAGGAGGACTTTAAACATCTAACTAGATGCGATTCTGTAGGTTTTTGACGAACAATTTTTTAACGGTATTGGAGAAAGGAGTATTCACAGGTTTAGCTAACCTCAGGTGGTTGTTTCTTGACGACAACCAACTTACCCAAATAGATATGTCAAATTTTGAAGCAACAAGTAGCCTCCAATGGATGTATGTAACCGTTTGCTGTAATATGAAAATGCAGGACTAATAAAACTGTAATTTGCAGAAATTTAGGGCGAAATAATCTGACTTTCACCAGAAACGAAACATTTCCTTACCTGCCGAATTTATTAGAATTGTAAGAATTTACGCATCACTTTCGATGTATTTTTTAAAATTTAAATTGTAGATTCTTGAACGAAAATCGAATACGTAAAATCAATAGCAACACTTTTGCAAATTTGACTAAGCTACACTTACTGTAAGTGGAAAATTTTATCCATTAATCATTTATACAAGCAATTACGTTTCAGAAATTTAAGAAGTAATCAGATTAAAACCATTGATGAAGATTCGTTTCACAATTTAGTGGAGTTGAAAGAGTTGTAGGTGAAAATTTTTATATGAATATTCGTATTAGTGTGTATGTGAAAAATAATAACAAGCAATTTTTCTCTTTAATCTAGGGACTTATTTGGAAACCAAATCAAAGTTCTACCAGTTTATATTTTCGCAGGCCAACATAAACTTGCGAAATTGTGAGTTCCTACTTTAATTGTTCAATTAGCATGTATTAATTGTTATTATTTTATTTTAGATATTTAGGGATGAATCCCTTCACTTATATTCAAAAGGAATTGTTCTTCAGTTTGAAAGACCTAAAATCACTGTAAGGTGTACTAAATAATACACGTTCAGAAGGATATTTACGCCACTCATTTTAGAAATCTCGAAGAGATCGAAATTGGACAAATAGACGTGAATATGTTTGATATAACCAGTTTGGAGTCGATTTATTTTAAAACCTACAAATATTGTGCTTACGCTCCCAAAGTTCGCAGATGCAGACCAATTTCAGATGGTATATAAGTCAGTGGCGTACCACCGGGTCAACAAACAAGCCTAAATAATAATGCTCATGCATTGATCCCAATTAAATGTATAATAAATAATTAAGAGATTAAGAAAAGAAATACCTCTCGAGGAGAAGCGAATTAATTGAAATAAAAGAAAAAATCTGTGAACTTGTGTTAAGAATGAAAGATGTAATAGATAATAGATAGAATTAATAAAATTTTAGTATTTATGCTTTATTATATCAATGAATATATTAACTAATTAAAAATTACGTAAATTAACCACCTAGCTGTTTCATAATGTATATTTCCGTAAATAAAAAAATGCATCATTTCTTGCAAATATTGTGTTAGAGCTATTGCTATGTTAGTGCTATTTGAATAAAGTTTTTATATTTAATACCTCGTTTTACCTAAAATATGCATTATAATTAAGGCTTGCCTCCAGGTGTTGTTATTTATAGCTACGCCACTGGCTTAAGTATATATTTTAAAGCTGTAAATAATTATTGCCAGAAAAAAAAACAAAATGCTTAGCTTTTCAAATCCGATGTTGTTGCGACTAACATGTGTTTTTTTTAGGTATTTCATCCACAAATCAACTTCTGTTTAAACCCATTTTCAGATATTCGAATTGGGTGATGTGTGTTGTTACAGTCGCGGGAAACACTCTGGTGATATTCAGCAGATATTTATTTAGGGATGAAAATAAAACGTTGAGCATTGTTATTAAAAATTTAGCCGGTAGTTTGTTCGAGCACTTTAAAATGTCGATGGGTTGTAATGGGTGGTTTCAGTTAGCGATGGTTTGATGGGAATATATTTGTTGATCATAGCAATTCAAGATATCAAGTTCAGGGACAACTACAACTCTGAAGCAATGCTATGGATATCATCATGGAATTGTGCTTTGACAGGTATAGTTGGAATGATCTCGTTGGAAGTTTCGGTATTGTTTTTGGTCTTTATGTCAATCGAGAGGTTTATAATAATTACCATGCCCTTTCGGAGATACGCTTCTCTCAGCGTAAAAGAGACGTGGAGAGTGATGCTCAGCATTTGGTGTTTTGGAATTGCCATTGCAGTTATACCAGGTATATTATTTATTTTTAAATTTAAAATTTAAAAAGGGTGTCATGATTTAGCTTTTGACGGGTGAAAAAATCTTTTTGCAGCGCTAAGTTTTATGTCTAGCACGAAATTTTATGGACTTAATGGCCTTTGTTTTCCGTTACATATTGACGACCCTTACATCATTGGTTGGCAATATTCAGCATTAATATTTTTCGGGATCAATGGGCCAAGGTTAGGTTTTTGATTTCCTAAAGTACCTTCTAAAATTTTGTTTTTAGCCTATTTATTATCGTCTGCGTGTATGCTGGTATGTTCGTCAGCATACAACATACCAGAAATGCCACCTCCCTTCCCATGAAAGATTATGAGTTTGCTATACGATTTTTTTTCATTGTTCTGGCGAATATAGCATGCTGGCTGCCGATACTGGTTGCCAAAGCTATAGTTTACTGGGGTGTTGAAATTTCAGGCAAGTTATTATATATGGTGTGTTCATAGATATAAGAAAGTGACCAATTGCTTTTGAATGGGATTATCCAAGGGTGGTCATTAACATACAATGCAACAAGATTATTACCTAAAGTTTCGGAATTTAAATTCAGGTAAAATTGTGGTCCGTAATAGAAAACAATTTTATACTTACCTGTGTTTAATATTCTTTGGTTTGGTATACTACTTAGTTTAAGTTTATTAGTAATCATGCTTATTTCGTGTGTAATACAGCGTGTGTTGAATCGTGTGCGAATTATGCAGAATATGTGCGAGTCTAGTGTATCTCAGGAGGTGCTCCCGCCCAAATGTAGAAAACACTATTCTATTGAGACTAAGGAAGTTATAAACAATGTTTATTTGACTCTCATTGAACGTGGTGCCAGCAAGCAAGCATCTTTAGAAGAAACGGCCACATTGACGAAAATTCCAACATCAACTGTATGGAAAATTGTGAATAATCCCATTTCAGCGAGGAAAAAAAGAAGCGATGCTGACATTTTCTCGAGTGTAGATGAAAGTGATCAAGATATAATACGGTGTAAAATTTAGAATTCGGAAATGGCGATTGGAATATCTAGAAAAAATTAGGATTTACAGGGAACAACAAAGGCCAATTATTTACTTGGATGAAATCTGATTCGTCACATATGATAGCCCGAAAAAGGGTTGGGTTGACTCAACTAATAAGTGTAAAACAAACACGCCATCATAAAGAGATAAAAGAATAACTATTTTGCATGCTAGCTCTAAAGATGGTTGGATTCCAAATGAACTTTCTCTGTCTGCGAAAAATATTATAGATTCTTCTCTGGATTATCATGATGACACCACCGCTGATTTATTTGAAACTTGGTTTAAAAACAAACTAGTTCCAAACATTCCTCCTAATAGCGTAATTGTAATGGACAATGCAAGTTATCACAGTAGACAGTTGAGTAAAACCCCTTCCTCATGTGACACAAACGCAACAATCCAAAACTACATGTATAAGAACGACATTTGTTTTCACGAAGATTATACCAAAAAGCAATTAATTGAGGTTCTACAAAGCTTGAACCTACAAAAGGAATACGTCTGTGATAGCGATAGTGATACTGATATATCATGTGAATAATTTTAAGTAATTTAAGTAGGTAATAAAAATAATTTGTTATTTTATTTTAGATTTAAACATAAATATATACTTAAATAAATAAATATAGTTTAGCATCTTTCCTAACAAAACCACAAATAATTAAATTCTAAGCAAAGTACGGACCTGTTCGGCCATATTTCATTCTTAGAGCTTGCCTGGGTCTTTCCTTAATTCGTATCAGTTAGTCACTTTCTTATATCTATGAACAGACTTTACCTACATATTTTTTCTACTCCCGTCTGTAAAATACCTGATTACCCACCGATCTAGCGTGCGGGAAGCGTCACCTTACCACCTCAGTTTCGTTTCCCATGATTCCGAGCCACTTCAGACATTTCCGGGATTTTACCGCACGGATTTGGGAGCAATCGGATGTTTTTGGAGATATTTCCCACGCTTTGAATTTTGACTTTTGTCAATTCTGACCGTCATGTCAGTGAAATGTAATCTTGTTGTTTTGCGCAAATGTACCCAAAAACTAATGGTCGTAGAAAAAGTATAGTATGCAACACGTTAGGTAAACTTTTTAACTCACTCGTTTATTAAAAATTCGCTCCGCTGCGCTTCGCTCGTGTCAAATAAACTCGTGAGACAAATGCCGTTTACCGGACTTGTTGCATAATATACTATTAACATCTGGTAGTCTGGATGTGGCAAATGGATTGTAATGGAAAATGGAAATAGGTATACTAGATAATTTTTTAATGTTACTAGGAGGCATATATTTTAACTCTGCACATATTTGTTATCGCAGAAAAAATTAACTTATTGTAAAATTATCTCTAACCATACATCATACAGCAGATGGTTGGATGATGTTACGACATAACGAACGTCAAATTAACTAAAAACATTATTTAATGAACATGTTTTCTCGTATTTGATTGGACATATAAAAAATAATGATTTTAATTTCTTTCTGTTCTAGCTGATGTCTATGGCTGGCTAATTGTATTCGTTCTGCCGATTAACTCTGCATTGAACCCTATCCTTTACACATTTACAACAAGAAGATACCGCAATCGCCTGGGAAATGTGTCAAATTGTATTAAGCAAATGACAACTACGGGTGCGGCAGACAGCAAAATATCTCAAGAGATGTTTAACTTTACACACAAATATGTGCACAGAAATCGCGAACCGAAGAAGTGAATTAGTAGAATTAAATGTGCTATGAATATCTTTGTGATGTTAACTACAAATGTTTTGATGTAATTTTGTGTATAATTCATTCGCACCTGTCGCTGAATGAAATTAACAAAAACTAACCCTCTGGATTTAAAGCGTTTCCGATAACAAATAAAATGAGTTATTAAAATTATTTACAGTAAAAACTTAATTAGTATCAATAACCGAAAGTATTTGCAGTTACTAATGTTTGCCTTCAAAATTGCGTATTTTTTAAAAATAAATGGATAATTTATTGCCAATAAATAAAGACCAATAAAGACCCTGTCTGGCCCTTTTCGACAAGGCACGTGTTTATTAGGTTATTACATTACAATGGAGCCGACTCGGGTATTGTACGACCAAAAATATTGTGCATTTATTGCTATTAAGTTTTAAGTATTTGTCCACAGATCTTCGCAGGACCGTGGTAAAACCCATCCCAACAGATGTTTATTCTGCATTAACCCATATTATGCCAAGCATAAAAAAAATAAAAAAATACTTTTTTGCTCTGAAATTATTTATTTTGTTGTACTTAAGAATGCATAACATGTGTCAAAAAAAAAGAATAAAAACTCGAAACATACAAAAAAATACTGGTCCGTAAACGAACCATCGGGAAAAAACATTAAATAAGGTTTTGGACACATAATATACAAAAGAAAGTTCAAATTCGACAGAAAACAACTAAAAGTACATTGTTTTCCAAATAGAACCTGATTTGATACAAAAAAAACGCATAATATCTTATGGTGCGTGAGCGCACCATCGCACTTATTACAAACGTAAATTGTGTGGCTGTGGCAGATTCTACATCTCCTTCGGACTTTATTAGTATGAACAATCATGAGGGGATCTTAATTATCAAAACGCACTTCATCTATGGCAGGAGCAAGATGTAAGATTTAAAATCAAATCAATCACTTCGTCATCAAAAAACATAGAAAATATTGAAAGCGGAGTTTTTCCAGAAAGCCTATTTTTTAGTTCCTCACATGATCTAAATTCATCGGATATAGGTGTGTGAGTGTACTCAGTCTGACCTTCCTTCCCTTTGACAGCAAGCCTGTCGTTTGCAGAAAGCATACGTCTTCTTTTGAATTCCAGGGTTTCATCCGATGAGTCCCATTCAAGTTCACTAGTTCATGAATTACAGGACTGTTCAAGAACAGCTGTATCACTCAGTGTATGTAACTCGAAAGTTCCAACTATATCAGTTGGTTCCCCAAATTCTTGTAGATGTATGTTATCATCGTTCATATCTTCTTCGTCAGTAAAGGTATCCACGTCGGGTGGAATATAGCCAATATAATTTTTTTTTCGTTTTTCGCGTTATTTTTAACGTATGCTAAATTCAAATAATCCTTACGACTTTCATTGTTATTGTCGTCACCCATCACGATCTCCTCCATAACCGCCTCTAATTCCTTTTGACTTAAATACCTCGGAAATGCCATATTTTACGAACTGTAACGTTCACTGCACAAGGCACACACTAATACTAAAGGACACCTTAATTGTTGGATGTTTATTCTACATGCGCTGACTTGTCTAGATTTGCAATAACAAAGTTTTGTTTTACAGATAAAACCATTCACGCATCAGTAAATATTTTCAAAAAATAAAGCATAATCAATATAGTATTTCCAATGTATGTTTTTTGCTATGTAACCTATTTGCTGTGGACCTAACAAAAATGGCAATACAAATCCAAAATATTTTTTTTACCATTTTGGATTTACTTAAAAATGTGATACAATTTTTTTCTTTTGAAGTCATATATAAGATCTTTCCTTTACACGTAAATTACCGATTTCAACGGTTTTATGTCCCTTAGTATTGATAATAATAAAATTTCTAAATGGATGTGCAAAAATATTTCCTGGATGTGACAAAAAAAATCATAGAATAGGTAGTGCATTAACGCATCACTGGGACAATATGGGTTAAGTAGGTTTTCCCTGACATGCTGGATATTTTAGAATAAGTGGAAGCGTTTATTTTAACATCAGAATAACAAACACTGCACTAAAATTTAGTGTACATTAATAATGATGGCATGTAGAAATGTAATGAGATAGAACGTAATAAATTGTTACTTTGTACTATTTTTGTAAGTTCATGTTTCGAGAATTGCTCGGCGAAAAAAATTGAAAGATTGATATCCCGCTTGTTAGTATAGATAGATAAAGTCCTAGGACGGTCCTGGTATGGTTACGGGTAAGGGTCTGCTCAGCAGGGTGTTGTATAAGGGGCTACAGTCTGGAATTATCCAAGGGTGGTCATTAACATACAATGCAACAAGATGATTACCTAAACTTTCGGAATTTAAATTCAGGTAAAATTGTGGTCCGTAATAGAAAATAATTTTAGGTTTCATCCAAGTAAATAATTGGCCTTTGTTGTTCTCTGTAAGTCCTAATTTTTTCTAAATATTCCAGCCGCCATTTCCGAGAACTAAAGGATTCCATTAAAACTTGCCTTTTGTCAATTTTTTACATCTAAAACGCATGTGTTGAATACACTTCCATAAGGTAGTTCTGCCACATTTAACACCGGTTTCATCTTTTTCAAGCTTCCTAATTCAGATATCTAATGTAGGCACGCTTTGTTCCTCGTATAACTGGTAAATTTTACGCCGTATTATATCTTGATCACTTTCATCTACACTCCAGAAAATGTCAGCATCGCTTCTTTTTTTCCTCGCTCACAATTTTCCATACAGTTGATGTTGGAATTTTCGTCAATATGGCCGTTTCTTCTAAAGATGCTTGCTTGCTGGCACCACGTTCAATGAGAGTCAAATAAACATTGTTAATAACTTCCCTAGTCTCAATAGAATAGTGTTTTCTACATTTGGGCGGTAGCATCTCGTGAGATACACTAGACTCGCACATATTTTGCATAATTCTCACACAATTCAACACACGCCTAATTACACACGAAATAAGAATGATTACTAATAAACTTACATTAAGTAGTATACCAAACCAAAGAATATTAAACACAGGACCACAATTTTACCTGAGTTTAAATTCCGAAACTTTAGGTAATAATCTTGTTGCATTGTATGTTAATGACCACCCGTGGATAATCCCATTCAAAAGCAATTGGTCACTTTCTTATATCTATGAACAGACTATACTCCTTTTATCGGATGCGGCATCCTATATGGTTAGGAAATGCAGCACAAAATTTAAAAAATATCTAACTTACTTCGTGTTACTTGTTTGGCTCATGGTGTCAAATAGAAATATGAGACCGGTTCCCAATAGTAACTGATTTAGGTGATCAAGTAAAAAAAAAATATTCCTAAAAACAACTTAACGTGTTCAATTTTATAAGGAACGTTGTCCATATAATGAATTATCGCCACAACCACAGCCGCTGCTATATTTTATTCCTATAAGTTTCAATTAGTTTATCAAAGATCTAAACGACTCATCTGCCGCTCTAATAAATGCAAGAACTATTTTTTCTAACCAATCAGTGAAAGAAAACTTCATATTTATAAAAACTTATATTACGATTATCTTATTCATTTTGATTTCAATAGGTCTGTGGTATAGGTAAAAAGGTTTAATTTCTGAAAATTTCATGCTTTTAAATGCATATATATTGCATATTCCGCTCCTTAGTTATTGGATATAAGACTTTCCAACTATGTAATTTAAAGGATGGGTAGGGTTAAGAACACAATACTCTTTGGATTTAACCATGTATTTTAAATACATTCACAGTCGTACATTTATATTGTATATACACATATTAACTGAAACATTTTCTTAAAAATTTGGTTTAATGCCTTGTATAGAAAATGAGCTTTCTTAAAATTGATTTAAAAAATGCATATGAACCAAGAAGTATGTGATAACCAAATATTATCTGCCAAGCTACCTCAAACTGGTAACTAAGGGACAAAAATACGGAAACATGCTAACACCTCTAGTATTCAAATGGAACTTGAATTAATCACAAAACAGATACATTTACCAATATTATGGTTAGAAAGCCAATTGGACGGACCTCCACTTCGACGTTTAATTTGAAAAAATATTTGAATTTTTAATAAAAGCAGATCTAAGTATGGTTCTGAGGTACCCTGAGCAATAAATGTTTGCCCAAATGGACCACTAAAAAATGTATACAACGTTGGATAAGTAATAAAAAAGTTTTTGTTCTTTTCATAGAAGAAAATAATTATAAAATGGCTATACTACTATACACATATATATTAAAATCTAGTCTGCATACACAATTGCATAACTGTTTTTAAAGCAATTCTTGCTTTTAATTAACATCTACTTTAGTTGGTTCCAGCTATTTAGGACATTGAAACAAAAATTACATTCACCCCACATTATTCCCCAAGATCTTGGTCTCCAGCGCTGCAGCTTTCAATTCATGAAAGTATGTCCTCTTTTCACTATATTAATGACAAATAAACACATTGTTATTTAGTCAGACATAATATTCTTATCAAATGTTCCTATCCAAAGGCTAGTTTACACCTCAAAAATTTTCGTAAAACGTAAAACTAATTAATAGTTTGTAAAGTGGACTTTTGAGCTATAAACCAACCTTAACATGACTTGAACGAAGTTAACAATGACGTCCTTTTATATGAAATAATTGGCTTATTGTAACATCTACGTTTTTTTTTGTTATTTTCGCTATTCTAAACATCGTTTACTATGACTTTGTGAATACACAAAACGCTACGTGATTCTAATAAGAGCATAAACTCAACCATTCAACAAAATCGGCATGGAATATAAAACATCGTAAAATAAGCCTTAGTAAATATTAAAGGAACATAAGGGAATACTGATGCTAACAGCACACTTGATATTGACAGCGAAAAATCTGTTATTGAAACACGGAACATTAAGAGACGATATAACAATTATTCTGACGAATTGAACTGCTTTGAAACATTTAGAACACATCCTATTATGAATGACACTGAACAAATATTGGTTTCATTTGCGCTCAACGTAATATTATTAAATAGTTGGCGAGAAAAAATGGAGGAAAATGACTCTGAAACTGTTTTTCAGTTCAAAAATGACCGCCAGGAGAAGCGACTACAGGAATTATACATGAATATAAGTTTTTTTTTCCAGATTTTTTCATATTTTTAATACACCTAGACATTTATAAAAAAACAAATGCCTGTTTATTATTAATCGATATCTTCCAGCGGCCAAAATTAAGTACCATACTTAATATTTACCACCCCCTTCTGCTGAATATGGGGGAACATTTAGAGGAATAAGTGGCATGGAAATAGACATCAAATTATAATTGACAAATTAACAATTCATTTAAAAAAAAATTAAAATAAAATTCTTTTGGTATAAAGCTCTTGAATTTAACTGGAAACTACTTGGCATTAGTGATAGTTATACTAAATCAGACTGATTAATATCTGCATCTTATTTCACCATATTTACAAAATTCTAAACCTACAACTTTAACAGATTTTTTTATATATCTCTACAATAATGGTTGGCATGCTTGCAAGAATACACTATTCTGTATCAAGCAAAGTATTGGGGGATCTGTTGATGCAACAGACATCTGACATCTATACATCACTTTGACCGATTTAACGATTATTATGTTATATTTAATTATAACACCAAAATACAAAACCTAAAATGACCAATAACATTTGCTAGTGCTTGAAATTCAGCAAAATTGTGCGAAAAATGTTTGAAAAAATATTCAAAATGGACAATTATTAAATTCACTAAGTATACACATCCAGCTATCGCTTGATTAATAATACGAAATAAACCAAATTACTTCTGCATTATTATTATTGTGAGTACATAGATAAGAATAAAATTGAAAACGAGAAAATGGCAAATAGTATTTCCATTAAATAACCCAATCGTTACTTGGGATCTCAACAATTATCTACATTCTAAAAGGTCGAGATTCGCTAATATCTACACTTGAATTAAAATTTAAAAAATTAAAATCACAACAACTTTATGTGCTCTAATCAGATTTTGGACGATATTCCATCATTTAAGGCCGGTTTAGATATGACCCAAAAATTGTTTGAAACTTACTATCGCATTCAGTAAAAATGAGATGAAAAAAGTAATAAAAAATACCATTAAGCATATTTTACAAGATCCACAAATTGGACGGTCATTGCAATATATGCTTTTAAAACAACAAAATAAAAAAAAAGGATATATACTTATCTACAGATTATAACTACCAATATTCCTTTGAATAAGGGGAGTTTCTGAAATTAAATAAACAAAATTATAACACAAATGCATATGTACATAAACAGTTTCTAACACTATCACAAGAAGGCAAGAATATACGAAAAATAAAATTCTTAGAATAAATGCTCGATGCTGTGTATTCTTACCTTAGGAACATAAATGAACAGTGCCGGAGCGCTTAACTTCATAGTATTAATTAATACAGTTCTTCAAATTCATTAGAGTGCTAATGTTTTTAAATTCAACTAATCTTTCTACACAAACATTATATACAGAAAATTTTCATCTAAAATGAGCCTACTAGCAAATCAGGCTCCATATCGGATATCTAGATTTTTTCAGTTACGTAGAAGTCAAGTGACATTTTCAAAACGAACAATTTTATTTGGCAACACTTTTTATACATTGACAGGTGGCAATACTAAATATACTTCCAATGTTTATAGGTAGAATATTAGAAGAAAAGAAAGAGAAGAGATAATTTGCTTTGTGAGTAACTAATTGTTCAAGCAAAACTGGAGCATAGACCTTTTGTCTTGCTGAGGAAGAGATGATTTATAGTTAGACCATTCCTTCCCAATTTGGTTTAGTAAAAAATTAAGAGACCCCGAGCGAAATGTTTAAACGAATTAAAAAGAAAATTTTAATTTGGTTAGTTTCGTTTTGACTCCTGAGGCTGAATAATGATTCAACCTCCGTAATTAGGAAAGTAGAAGCGGAAAAAACTTAGGGTTAGTTTCCTTTAGATTATGGGAGGCAGATAATTGTTAGTTCCTTCCTCTAAATAAAGTTTCAAACATTCCAACGCTTGGCTTTCCTAATATTAAAAGACCAATAGCCCAGACCGTAACACCTAATAGAATATTACACCAAGTAAATAAAATTCAACTTTGAACTTGCGTTTTCTTTTACGAATATCTTTAGTATCTTTGATAATTACATCAATTATGTTCCGGCTGTTATGGCTGTTGGAGATTAGCTGAGCCTTAGAGCATTTCCGTATTTGAAGTGGCAATTTTCAATCCTAGAACAAAATACAACAAAATGCACACATCAATCAATCAAAGTCAAAAACATCCAGGTTTTCGAAACGCGTTCAGAACAAGATATCGTTTCACTCGGCTATTGAAGTTATTAATATCCAATCAATAAGTCTCTTAGGAGATAAACCTATTAATACCTATGCTAGGGGAAAAAATATATTTTTTGGAATCCCATTTTTCATAACGCAAAGGGTTTATTAATTTTCTCCTGTTCAAATATCCTTCCGTAAAGCGGACGTGAATACTCAATAAACAAAGGAGTGTATATAAAGTATTACCGTCACACATATTGGGAGGCTACACAGCAAACATCGCAGAACACGCAACATATATTCTGATTACCCAGCCCCAAGAGGTAAAAAACGAAGACTTCAGCGATCTTTAGTAACAATTATCACATTCAGAAACGATCGTAATTAGCGTCAAAGCTTAATTTAAAGGGCAGAGCCTTCGGCTTCCATACCTTCTGGTGGCACTCGAACGAAATCGTTGGCCGACGGTTGAGGCTCAATTATCACCTCTTTCAGATCGGGACTCGATTGCAGATTGGGGCAGCTCGTTTCGGTTGAGTTAGATGCGGGCAGTCCGTCCGGTGACCTGGAGCACGATGGCTGGTTTTCCGATGATTTCGCTGATCTTCCCTTTACACCGTTCGCTATGGTGAACATGTCGGGTGGAATTTCTTCGAGATATTTTTCCGGTGTGCCGCAGATCGTCTGAACGCATAGATAGAGTTTCAGAAAATCATCGGCGGACGGCCAGATGCCCGGCCTTTTGTTGTGATACAATTTGGCGTACATATAAACATCCACCTTTTGTTCATAAGCAAGGTGCTTTTTTAGGGTGATCAGGGCGCATAATGTTGCCGCTTCGGTGCCGCCATATCTGCAAATAAGATGTCTCAGAGTGAGAAAAACATACAATTGTATAGTCTGTCTCAAAGTATATCGCGTTGGCTTTTCAAGAACATTAAGGCCGGACTGTTATTTGTGACATAATTTGTGATTTAAAACTGGTAAGCTTTTCGAAGACTCGAATGAAAACATAAAAGCACAAACGACACCAAACAAACTATTTTTATCATTATTATTCTTTCCGCCAGAGGTCTCATTGAATTGTAAAATCGCCATTATTGGCGTAGGGTCTGCCAAAAGGCAACATGATATACTTTGAGATACATTATAGTATGTATGTTGAGGTATGACCATAAATAAAGCAGGAAATATTTATCAACATGAAATTCTGGACACTATATCTTTTTTAACTATCAAACTTTGCAATTCGCTTAGCAACACCAAGCATTTATTCGAAAATTATTAAATTTAAAATGATTGTAGGTAAAAAATGTGGTAGTTTGTTATATTTTGTGAATTACCGACAAACATATTTTGGAATTCAATTTACTAAGAAGAGGTAAAAATATTACAAAATAAAAACAAATGTTTTAACAACCAAAAAATAATATTAAACCTAAAAATAACAAATACAGAAATATTACTAAAATTGTTTTTTATTGTAATTTCTTTTTAAATTTCAAAATACCACACATTTATCCAAAAATGACGAAAATTGTTTGCAGGAAAAAACATGTGAGTTTGTTATTTTTTGTGAATTATCTACAAATTTAATTTGGAATTAATTTAAATATCAGTTAAAATATTAAAAAATAAATAAAAATATTTTGACTACCCAAATATAATATTAAACCTAAAAAAAAAAATTCCACAGAAATATGACTAAATTTGCAATAGAAGAAAATTGGTTTGTTATTGTAATTTTTTTTTATTTCAAAATGCAAAAGTCATCTTAGAATACTCATTGTGACACCTTATTCTACATTTACATCAAGCATTTATCTAAAAATGACAAAATTTCATGTCTGTAGACAAAAATATGTGAGTTTGTTATATTTCGTGAATTATCTACAAATGAAATTTGGAATTCAATTTACAGAGTTTAAAATATTAAAAAACATATAAAAATATTTTGACTACGGAAAAATAATATTAAATCTAAAAATAACAAGTCCCGCAGAAATATTACTAATTTGTAATATAAGAGGATTGTTTTTTATTCCAATTATTTTTTCTTTTAATTTTAAAATGCAGAAGCCATGGTACGTTACTCATTTTGACAACTTATTCTACATTTAGACCAAACATTTATTCAAATTTCATACGTTTGTCGGAAAAATTGTGTTATATTTTGTGAATTACCTATAAATAAATGTTGGAATTTCATTTACTTAGAAGTAAAATATATACAAACACGTTATTACCAAAAAGTAAGCCTAAAAATATGAAATTTTTATTGAGACATGTTTTCCATCAATTTGCAAATTTCTGGAAAACAGTTTTCAGTCAAGCTCCGAAGAAGCTAACAGGATGATTGGCGAAACATTAGCTAGTTCGAAAATTAACTTGAAAATTGATTTCCCGTTCTCATTTTCACACGTTCTACTATGCGCCTCTTACCTGTCAACAACACAAATTGGCCCTTGTCCAACTTTCTGCAAGCTGATACAATAATTGGGCAAATCGTACATGCCTTTTATACTTCCGACACCCTGATGGGGCCAATTGTGGCACTGCACGAACTTAACCTTAAACTCGTAATCGTCTTGTACCGATTTAAGCATGAAATCGCGGGTGATATAGGGCGCAGTCATGTTCACCCCCACCTGTTGACATGTGTAAATATCAGTTTCAATTATTTCATCCGCATCGGGCCAAAACACTTCGAATTCCGATGTATCCGTTATGCTCAACATCACTATCAATTGGGCGGCGTGATCCCAACACATTTTCCAAAAGTCTTCCTTGGAAACTGGATGTTGAGTGATGACAAACTCTCGGAGACTGTGGAATCCCGGCAACCAACTGGCGTTTATGTAATCCGAACCGTCTTCTCCAGGCTTTGGGGTTAAGTGAACGCGAGCACTTTCGATAGGAATCAAATGTGAGCACCTGTTCTTCCTCTGATTTACAGGTTTGTTCGCTGAGACCAGATTAAAATCGCGCGGAACGAAGCTTGTCACTTGCTAAAAACACGCCATATTTAACAATGCTTAAGAAGTTTCAATTTAATGCCATCTCTTAAGCAGATCATGCGCAGAGCGATTATAAGCAATAGCGTCATTAGATGCCCTATTGTGGAACAGAATTTCAAGGAACTTATATCTCATTAAGGAATGGCACATTATTACTTACGGCTGTCGGGTCAATTTGTAAAGCAAAAATGAAATTTTTGACTCGGGAGTTAATTCAATACCAAAAAGTTATTAACAATGATATCCATGACTTACTGACAATCCTGAGGAATAAAATGCCATTAATTATTTACATGTATATTTGATTTACTCAGAAAAATGAAAAGTACAAAATAGTAACTGTATCCAAATTTAAGGCTAACTGAATACAATTTTTTTTTGTACATTACCATAAATATTTAATATGTTCCTTATTGCATTTAAGAACAAATTATTTTACAAAACATAAAATAAAGTCGGGGAGTGGCTAATAAATAATAAAATAACTCTGCTTAATATGAATTGAACAATTCTGGACATAGTCTTCTTTTTTATTATTACTAAGGAGCGAAGAAAATGCGAAAAACGAACTGGGCAACCACAATTTAAGATCATTTTTGACAAAATTTTATAAATTTGGACGAGTCAACTGTACGTAAAGGAGCATAAAACAAATATGTCAACAATTGCAAATAATTCAGAAGTTTTTTCAAATTTCAAGCATATGTTTATAGATAAAAGACACAATTATCGTTTGGGAAAATTTGAAAAACATTTAGTTATCAATTGTTTTTATAACTGCAACGAATAATTTTTGTAAGTTACGAATTGTATGTTGTGCAAGTATTATCTGAATCCATCAATGGTATTGTTGAATTATTAATTGTATTAATTTTTGTATCTATCAATAAGTGCATCTATGAATAAAAAACTTTAAAAATGAGGTTTTTCTTTTATTTCATTTATATTCATTTAAATAGGTCTGCGGTATAGGCAAAAAATTATAGCGTTTATGAAGAAATAGTTCTGACTTTATATAAAATAACGTTAATATTTTTAATTATTTCTTTTTTTGTTCATTTCGATGTATATATTCCGAAAATTTTACATATTACTATTTCTTTTTTGTTTCATTTATATTTATTCAAATGGGTTTGTGATATAGGTAAAAGATTATAGGAATTCTGAAGAATTGCTTAATGATAAAGAAATAGCATATTTACATATGCATATTTATATTTTTTGTTCATTTCGATCTATATATTCTGAAAATTTTATGCATTTCAATGTGCATATATTGGGGTTTTTCACTTGCATTTTTTCCGCTCCTTAATTATTACATTTACCTGCAGAATTAACTCCATTTGTATCATACAGTTAATGATTATGTTTAATTGTTTAAATATTTAAAAAATATTATAGTGTAATTCGCCACAAATTGTATAATTTATTAAATTGAAGTTGAAGATTTTTCAGTTCATAATATTTGACTGTTGGAAATAACATAAATAAATAAGTATTACACAGATTTAAAATTTGTTCAAAATATTCCTTGAAACATGAGTTTTACACTTCAACACTGTACAACCACGAAAAACCGCCCGACTTTTTGCTTATTTCAAAACTTTTGGAATAAATAACATTTAACTAAATTACATATTTATAAGATTTAAAGAATAACGCTCGAAGTGGCGTCAAACCGCACTTGCAACCCTTCTTGTAATAGTTACTATATTACCTTAAACTGCTCCCCAAGAGGCTTCCATACTGACTCATCTTTGCCCTTAATACTTTCCGGATTTTGTAGAACCTCCAAATACCTGGTGAACGAATCGCACATGATATCGGTTTCGCCACATTCTATCGCCTCCACTAAAGCGTCGTGGATAAATATGTACTGCTCTTCTGTTTGCACCAGGAAATTTCGTTGAGCCCTGATGTGTTTTAAGAAACCGAATATGTTTACTTCGCCGCGAGTTTTAATTTGCTTCAGCATCGCGTCCAGAACTATGTAGGTGCCAGTTCTACCAACTCCAGCACTACAAAAGGCATTTAGTGAGAAGTAGTTAGAATATTATGATGTATGACTACAAAAAATGTAACTAACTAAAGCATTAGGTCAAATGTATCAACGCTGAGAAGATTATTGTTACCTGCAATGCACTACAATGGGTCCACTATCAGATGGATTGGCACTAGAAGATTTCTTCACAAAGCTAATTACTGGCAGTGGGTGATCGGGAGTACCGTGATCGGGCCAATTGGTATAATGATATTGATAAACGGTTTTTTCCGCTAAAGAAGAATCCTTCTTGTTCTTAACCTACGGCAAACGCCGCGTTTAAATAAAGATTTCGATTGAATACCAGACGAATTTAATTTACCCGGGTGTGTCTGATAACTAGAGTTCTAATGGTATAAGTTGCCATTACATCTTCTTTGACTAGTCTAACTTGAATGACTCCGTAGTCTTCAATCCCTTCCTTTGGCCAATACATATCACATTTTCGCTATAAAATAATCGATTTAGCAAACTAACATAAATTGCACTAAATAAAATTGAATCAAATCGGAGCCAAACATATTATTAACGTTAATACGAATTTAACACGCCTACAGAGGGTGTTCTTAAAGGCAAAACTATACAGTGTTGAAAAAAATGTGGTTTAGAGAAATAATAATATGAATCAATAAGGCCTTTTTTTGGGTGCATTCGATAAGTCCATATTTTTTGCCCCTCCACCCATTACCGTTATGTTTTGAGAAAAAATAAAGTAAATTATTTTTTATACAGATATCCAAAATCCAAAAATTATTATTTTTTATTTTTTCAAATCCTGGTTCGATATTTTCGAAAATTTCTCTTGGGGCACCGCGCGCCCTCACAAAAAAAGCCTGGTGAATAGTAATAAACCAAATTTTGAGTCTGTGTGTGTGTGTGTGTGGGGGGGGATTACGCGTTGAAGTGCAGGGCAAGGAAAAACAGTGACGAAATGTTTAAACTGGTTAGTAAACCAAAACTGCCACTCTTAATTCAAACCTTAAACATAGCTAACTGACCTAGATGACTTTTATAAATTTTAACCCTGCTAAGAGAAATTATATATAAAAAATCAAAAGAAATAGAACAATAAAATAGTAAAACGCAAACTTACGCGTCCCCTTTCGACTAAATTGGTGATCATAACAATAATGGTAACTCTTTGTTCCCAAATCATACGCCAAAAGCAATCGAAGGTTGACGGTAAAGGTCCTTGGGTACCGATGTAGGCCCTGTTAACCGAAAAACCGTCAATATAATTCGCGTTAATGTAGGTTGACACTTTTTGACTCGGCATGGGTAGCAGTTGGACACGGGAATGGTCATCTAAAACAGTTGTATAGAAATCAGTACGAGGAACTCGAGAAAATAGTTGCATACATACACGCGATGATGTTAAGGTATCTGTTTTTTGGTTTGTTATCGGGATGTTGAGAATTTTCTGAGCTATTAACTTCGTTGGAGGGATCGTTCTGGATTGCTTCGTATTCTTTGCTAAAACCGATGTCTCCATCGGCGTGAAGTTTTTGAACGTGCTCGGCAAAATGTGCCACTGCAATTGGACCACTGTAGTCCTCGACTTCGTTTTCATCCGGACTCGTGTTCCAATCCAGTGGTGCCGGCGTACACTGTGTATTATCTAGGTAATAATATGGCGCCTGAATGAACTTCCTGTAAAAGAAATTTTTTCGGATATACATTTTATAAAATTGAAACGTGATGGAATGAAATCTCACATTTTGCACTTTCGGTTTTCTGATATTTGGTTATTAAATTAACTCGCGGTCATTGCAAAGTGCGAACTTTCTGTTGAACTGTGGTCCCCTTGATTTATGATTTTTTTGTTGTTAAATTAATTCTTTCACTTCAATTAATTCTTGTGACGAAATTCAGAAATCAAGTGAACAACAGCCCAAAACACACAATGTGGTGATGTGAACATGTATGTAAGGAATGAAATAATAATGAATTCAGTTTTATGTGTCCCAAAATAATCCCGATACAACGTAGTTCAAATTTTCTCAATTTGCCAGAAAATTTCAACAGCAACTAACTAAAATATCTACTCTACAAAAATGAGAACAATGCCCGCAATTCCCATTTTATTAATTACGATGGTTCTATATTTTCCATGGATATTTTAACAGCAATCTGACAGATTATTGACGAAAGAGTTTCTCATTCACAGGACTATTCTGTGACAAACATTGTTGTATGAGTTAAAATGAGAAAATTCGTAAAAATAAATTTAAATGAGAGTGTGTGTCAAACATAAATGTAATTTTCAGTGTTTACAAATAATACCTACCCTTTGAAAATACAGGGTGTTTTTCCGTTCCCAATTATATAGCCTATAATATTCAGGGTATTCAACTGCAACATTTGCAGAGTATATATATACATAGATAAATAAATAGATTTATTCTTTTTGTCAGTCTTTTCGTTTTCATATAAATATGTCTCCAATATAGTACTTTAAAATAAGCGCGCTAAGAATTAATCAAATGAAATTAATGAGTGCAAAATAGCTAAAAAAATACTGTATTATTTTTTTTTTTAAACGCTAACGTTCTTTAAATGGGTCTCTTGGACGTTTATATTGGTTTCAGCTGAACATCCTGTATATTCTCTAGGTATATTCTGGGATTTTTGTACAGCCCTGCTGTCCAAAGAAAAAAAATGTTAAAGTAAACCATATCTTTGACGGGGACTTTCAAAAAAATAAATATGGCCGAAGCTCTGTAGCAAACGAGATTCCGAATGTGAAAAAATTTTACCAATACATTACGATTTATGTGTGGACGAAACCTGAGCACTACAGAGCCAGACCATCGCTTGAAATATGTGTACGGAAATTAAATCACTATTAAAATTTTATTTATCGAGGTGCTCTATAAAATTGAAGTAAAAGAGGAGTCAGTATAAATAATTAATAACTACGATACATAAGAATTCCTTATAGTTACCACTTCAACATGTTTAAATATTAAATAATCAATGTTCAACACAACCAGATTCACAAAAATAACAACAATGTGGATGTTAAATTTGTTTAAGCTGGATTGGAGTCTGCGGTGAATCATTGATGTTTACATCGTCAGGTGCGCAATTGTTTGCTTATCTCATATTTCTGAGTAAGGTAATTAGAAAATGCTTATACAGTGGAGGAAATAATCCGAGCCTGTTTTATCTTTTCTCTTTTAATCTACACTTAGAGCAGGTGGCAAAGTAGAAAGCAATCAGGTATGAATTTCAACCCAAATAATTTCCGCAGCCCATAAAATCCACACACATTTTACAGCCTATTCCCGTTTCGACTAAACGGGAACTCGTTGCTTTTCGCGAACAAAAGAGCCGCAATAAAGACAATAACAAACAAATGAAACGTGTTGGACGCATAGAAGTGAAACATTAAACTGTGGCAATAATTTCAGTTTTCGCGTGAACGCAATAAACATTTATGACTTTCCTCTTTTATATAAACAATAAGACACGTTTGCTGGAAATACAGCATATCAAGAAAGCACTTGCGTTTCGAATCGGAAAAAATCGTTTTGTTTAATTGTTAGTATATGCTCGCTCGCATTAATAACAGCCTTTAGTGCCGTACATAAGCCCAAAGATGAATGGGTAAGGTCGTGGGACGTTAAACTTTAGACATCCTGTAGACATATATAAGCTATTGTTAAACTTGTAAAAGCAATTTAGTTATATGACCATGACTGTGTTTCCACCAAACTTCCAGACGATTTCACTCGCGTCTCAGAATATAAAAGTACCACCATAAGAAAGGCCTTTTTTTTCATCGGGTGGAAAGTCCGCAAGAAAATAAAATTGTTTACGATTTTTCAGAGAAGTCAATCCGTGTTCGGCCCGAATAAAATTTGCATTAGAAGCTGCCAAGGTATAGCTAAACCTGAGGGACACTATCGACAATTAAGCATAATTAACATGAGTTTTGATTGTTGCTGTAGCTAAAATTATGTTTTTATTTCAAAATAAATATTAACATTTTTTAAATTCAATCAAAGTATATATGTAACTTCCGAAAACTACTGAATTTGGGACACGCTGTTAATATAAACGAACCAACTATAACTTCTAATAATGCTCACAAGCGTCAACCGGCTATAGGAATACAAAATTTTGCAACACATCTTGCATTTAGATAAGAAAAACAAAGTCACTTGCTGGGCTGCATACAAATCGCTATTCATAGCGTTTTATTAACTGAATATTAAATTGTTAGTTGTTTAATTAATATTTTTTATAACGTGAGCGCTAAACCCTAGAAATTACCTCACTAGAACTAATTTAATACCGACTTAACGCGTTCGAGATCTTTAGGAGATAAAACTTTATTGCCGTTAATTTCGATCGAACTTTGTTAACAAAACTTTATTTGCAATTTACAATGCCCCAACTGCAATTTACAATTAATATAAATTGACAGAAAAGGTCCTTCTCTGTCTCTGAACGTTTGTGGTGATTTTTTGAAAAATGCGCAATAATGTGTTTTTCAATGTAAAACAGCAGAGAAAAGTAACCATGATTTCAAATCGGGTATCAGAACACAGGGCAATAGTAATTAATTTCAAATTAATATAGATTCTACTTTGATCCACGCTTCAAGCATACCAAATAAATAGGAAACAGATAACAAATTGTAATGAAGGTCCTTCTTAAAACTGAAAAAGATAAAATCGAAAATTAAACGACACATCTGACTTCCTGTACGTCAGATTTGTTAAGAAGTCCCGAAACAAAAGAATAATCAGATTTTATCTAATAACTCCAAGTTGAATGCTGAGGAGAAAGGAAAGAATGAATTGATAGTTGCATAACAATGAGATGGAGATTAAAAATCATTTACAGTCACCGTTAAAACTAGTTTTTTATTTGATAGGATATGTCCATTTTTAAATTTATAATATTTTCAAATAGCGAAAAATGCAGATTCAATTTTTTTTTCCTTTAAGATAAGAGTTTTTATTTTTTTTAATTCTAGGTTATAAGAATAAACATGGGCATCTAATGGTTGAAGGTAAACAATTCTTATGCCTTTTGAATTTTTAGAGTTTAACATTTTTATTATATAAAGGATTAAGTGACATTAAAACTCACATCATTTACTAGGGGCTTTTACACCAAATATAAACACACTGTACATATATTTGTTTCACTTTTTACCTGAATTTTATAGAGACTATATATCAGTTAAGCAAAATTAAAGGATTGCAAATATTGCGAATATGTCCCATATACCAGTACAAATTGTAACAAAGAAAGGTACTCACTTCCAAACCAAATAGCCGCCTCCCGCCAATAATAGCACACCGCTGGCACATAAGAGCCCTGCCAAAATCCCTGCCCACAATTCTACCACATGAGTAGTTGGATGGTAGCAACCTTCTGTGACATACACCCGTGATAACTTTGACTTTTCGCCTCTCACCAATCTACCAGATCGATTACTTCTTGAAGCTGCCGAGACTTGAACATCATAGTGTATATCCGGGGTAACATTTTGAAAAACAAACTGAAAACAACATTGAAATTACATTAGAGAATTCCTACCAAAAGTTAGACAGTTTTTACCGAGAATGCAAGATATTTGGCTGATGCATTTAGAGTTGCTTCATTGTAAGGAATACCTCCATCGTACACGTCAATGTAATACAAATCAATGCTTCCCGGATGTCTATCAGGCTTCTCAAACTCTACACGCAAGGATGAATTATATTCGCATGATGCATTTACAATTTTCGGTGGACTTGGACCAAGAATATCAGTTCTTCCTTCAGTTGTATTTGACAGCAAACCCTCATGGCGAGAAGAAAAAGCTTTTACTTTTATTGAATAGGCAGTGTCTGGTTCTGAAAGGAAAAAATATATATAGTTTTCCAAGAATAAAGATTGATTTATCTAATTACAGAAAATCGAAATCTCATTTTATTCAGTATAAAGTTATATTAGTATTTAATTGAAAGAGCAACTCAGTTGAATTTTAAATGAATACAATTAATGTTATTCTATAATTAGGAAATATCTATGACTCACTCCTCTATAAAAAATACCACAAGGGGTAAATACCTAACCAAAAGTATGAATGTGTTGTTTATTAATTTGCAACAGTAACTTTGTTGAATTACAAGAATATGTAAGCTGTACTTACTCAAGTCAGTGAGAAGATATGTCTTGATTGGGTTGTGGGGATCTGATTTATCGGTCCTTGTATCAGTATAATTTCCATAGGTATAGTATATCCTGTAGCCTACAAGTATTCCATTAGTTCTCTCCGGCATATACCATTGTAACAGAAGGGAAGTGTCTGTGGCATCTCGAACAGTAAGGTTTCTTGGTGGACTGGGTTCTGTAAAATTAAGAGTAGCTGTGTCATTGGCCTCTGTAGTTTTGGTAAATTCGATTTCAGTTGCACTTGTGGTAAAATAAATATTTGTTGTTGCTTCTTGACCACTTATTGAGATTACACCCCATAGTACAGCGACTACATAAAGAAATGCATGGACCATCCTCTGGCACTTGGTTTTCTGGTCAAGATACGACTACTAAATGCTCAGCTTCATGATCTGTTAAAGTGGACACCGAAAATACATTTTATGTAGGTTAGGTGTGTGAAAACAATGCAATACTAATGCACAAACTTGTTTTAAGTAGGAAATAACACTAATGTGTTTATTTATGAACACCACCCAACAGCGGCAACTGCACTGTGGTGGGGTGAGAATAGGAAGCGGTTGTCAGACCGTCCGTGTTTCCTGAGTTGCCAACTTTTTGGCAAGTTTTACATGCCGGTAATTCATATTCTTTTATTTTTTATTCCAGTATAACCGGATTTGTATAATTAACTCTTTTTAGTTATGTACCTTAACTGTCATACCTCAACTTATCGCGTCTGCTATTAATTGTCAATAACATTTTCTGGTTCAAAATTTTTGCTATATATTTTGAAGGATTTTTTCAAAAAATATCGACAAACTATTTAATAAAAACAAATGAAATGAGTGTAAAAATGAGTAAACAAAATTTACTACTCGGCCAGTAAATATCGAAACATCTGACAACGTGCATCAATTCGGCATGCGAGCGCGCATAGTCAGGCCGTTGGTTTATTCCCTCCATGGATCTTGATGGTCTGTGCAATTTCCATGCGCGATTATCCCTTTGTTCAGCATTTGCATAAGCAGAGCCATACTAAGGAGCATTTTCAAACTATCAAGTATCGTGGTAAATTTGAATGACGCCGTTAAGTGTTTAAAAGGTAAAAAAATATTAGCACATTCTATCCAAGAGACTTGTTAAATTGATATAACAATTTACGAGTTTGCATATTTCTTTGAGCGGAAAAAGAATCTATTATAAAAATAGGCCCTGCACATTTTTATAATTGATTGCCATTAATATTATTTTTTTTTATCCTCTGAATAATATATTGTAATAAGATAAAATTATGTATAAATAATGAAATTAATTATCTCGAAGTTTAATTCTTATCATTACCTCCACAATTTTCAGAATTTGTTGTTAACTGATATTAATGTAGTATATATAATACTTATTCTGGAATACTTAGATACCTACTTCTGGCGGATTCGCCGCGCTATTAGTTTGTGGGTGTTTAATTCATAATTTGAGACGTCAATTACATTAGATGAATATATGGTTTATATAAAAGCCAATAATGAGAAGATATTATGTAAAGATATTTTTAACTTAATGCAAAATGCAAAAAAAACCAAACCTTACTTTTTTGCACAATATTTGTACACATTGACAATATTATAAACAAAGACAATTGTCTACCAATCTTCGGTGTTTCGGGTCATACTAGAACTACAAATCAATGTCGTTTTACTGAATACGTAACAGCTTTGTGCCCCGGAGCCAACCCTGATTGTGTGTGGTTTATTTAATTTATCTCACTACATATCAAGTTTAGTCAAAGCGGGTTAAATCAATTTTACTTCATACTTTTGAGAATCATCATTTTGAGAATTAAATTGTCTCAAGCCATGTTCTTAAGTGACAAAAAGTCCAATTTGATAAAATCTAATAGACGATTTGAAATTGGATCCAGATTTTCCATCCCAAGTGACTTTTTAGTCGCTCCGCAGTAAAAAGATATTAAAATTAATGGAATGACATGTGGGCAATAAATATCCAACATTTAAAAGAGGAGATTTGGATTTTATTAAGTTTTGAACATGCCGCTAAGACGGTTTAGCAATTAAAGAAGGCTGTGATTCAAATGACAGTTGCGTAACCGCGTCAGTTTTGGGTGACAAATGTTTTTCCTGTAGTTAGTTCAAAGGTAATATTATTTCTTAATTTTCGATATACGTATAATTAATTTATTAGAAATAACCCACTCGTAAGCCCAATTAGTCGGAAAAAAGTTTTAATGATATTTTCTTTTCGTCAGTTTCGGCACTTCTGGAATTTCATCATATTCGAACTTACGAAATCGTGACTGTAGATACTTAGATATTTCATGCCATCGATTTAGATTTTCCAGGTTTGTTTGGAATCGATCAAGTTATAATTTCCTTTAAATTCAATATTAACAGTCAAGTATAATGGATATATAAATAAAAAATGGTTTCAGGGCAAACGATTATCGGAACGTGTTAAAATTTGAGGATATAAAATCGACACCAACAAAATATGTACCGGGCAATATATTTTTTCAGCTGAAAAATTCTTTAGAATATTTTGTTCTTTCTGATCTCAGTTTTAGAAATCAAAAAAATTATCGAAAATTTGTGAAATATTCAGAAAAACAATGGATTTGCGACTAAGAAAATTAGTACTAATAGTAGTACTACTAGTAGTATTAGTACTAGTCAACTTCATAGCAATTTATATATGTAAGTAAGGAATACATACATGGAAAAATATTTTGTCAGTTATTTCAGTAATTATAATAATATAATAGAGTTTAAATTATTCTGTTTGTAATTCAATTGATATTTTTATTTCTGTCAATAAATATTTCAGAATTGTTTAAATTACTACACAAAAAACTGTTCTTAAAATTAAAAATTGGAATTTTAAGAACACGGCCAAATTCTAAAAAAAACGCCAATTGTGATAGGATCGTTTATTAAGAATTTGTCAGTGTTTATATATTTATACATTTAGTGAAAACTCGTCGGATTATAATGGTTGGATAAATCGAATAAAGCCTATTATATTCGTAATAATAAATAGTACAATTAATACTATTTGACTAAAATTTCAGTGGTATCGTGTTTATCTAGTTGTATGTAATTCACTACTGAATGAATGTAACATAGTCCTCTTTTTTCTCCTACTAGAAATGTTGTTATTTAATTATTCAAGAAACTTCCACCGGCTACTGTAAGTAGTACTTTTTATAAAACTTCTGGATTCCTCCAGCGTTGGCTTTTATTGAGTCGAACTAGCTAACGTTTCGCCAATCATCCTGTTCGCTTTTTCATAGCTTGACTGATACTGGCTCGCATTTTACTCTGTATCTGCTTGTATATTGTTTGATTAGGGAGGAGCTAAATGAGGGACATAAGCACCGTCTCAGATGATGGATGGATGGATATTGGTGACAGGTAAAGACCTGAGTTGTATTTAAGATTGTTAGTTTTATCGAATAAAATTTTATGTCCGGTTTCGTGATTGTGTTCGGCAACTGCTGATGAGTTTATTTGTCTTAGGCTCGCTCTTTCATGTTCTTTGAGCCTAGTTAATATTTTTCGTCCGATCTCTCCAATGTACTCTTTGCCGCATATGCATGGAATGCTGTAAACTCCTGGCATTTCAAATAGAATTTTGTCTTTGACGGATCGAAGATATTGAGAGATTTTTGGACAAGTGGTTAATCTGGTTTTGACTTTATATTTCTTTAGAACTTTTTATATGTGGGATTGCTTTCGGCTTCATTGCTATTGGAAGGTTGTGGTGAAGTGTATTTTGTGATGGAACAAACAATATGTAAGCAGGTACAGAGTAAAATGCGAGCCAGTTTCAGTCAAGCTCTGAAGAAGCCAACAGGATGAGTGGCGAAACGTTAGTAAGTTCGACTCGACAAAAACCGCTGCAGAAGGAATCCACAAGTTTTATAAAAAGTATGTCGTTATTTGTTGTTGTTATATGATATATGATGATTGTATTATATTGATTTGTATTTTTTGAAACCATCTTTTTGGCAGACGAATGTGAAACAAAAATGTTTTCCACCTTTTTAGATTCGGGCATAATTTTCAACAGAATTAATTTGAAATCGGTTTAAATACAATAAAAAAATTATATTTATTGTACCTAACGGTTGTTTGTTTTGCTTCTTTATCTTTTCAGTAGAAGCTATTAAAATTGGTATCTACATTGCTATTATACAGAGTGGTAAATATTAAGTAATAGGTGCTGAGTAATTAATAAACATTTAAAAACTTTCATTACATTTTTTCTTAATATTTATAATCAATGGTCCAACATAGACGGTAGGAACGTCTTGGACAGGAAAAAATTGTGTAATCCAGCTTAAAAATTTCCGAACGGAGGGGCATTATTAGGCGGGCAAAAAAGTCGAGAAAAACCGTGGAAAGTCGATCCGGCAACGGCCATTTGCTTTTGTTTTCTACTCCAAATTCGGCGGGCTTTATTTTCCGAAGCGCTAAACCTCATTCGTATCCTCAGTAATTGGGTGTCAGTCTCTTACACGCCATCTACTTGTTATGCAAGACGGATAGTCATCAGATTTAACTCGCAACTGTCTCACAAATCCGACAAAGAAAACCTATGGACAATTCCCGACCGACCAGATTGGAATGTGTCGCGACCAGGAATTATTCAGTTCAACTTCAGTAATCTAGTCCCTTAAGACTGAAGTTCTCCCAACGCCGTCCGCAGGGTTGTTATTACTTGGTCCCGTTTATTTCATCTCCAGTTCATATGTGGTCCTAACATCTCTACCTTTTCAACTGTCCGACGCATTTATCCTTTCATATATTACGTATACCAGGTGTTTTAATTCGACTCTCGACATTTAGGGCAATTAGAACAAAACAAAATTGAAGTTATCTCCGATTCGTATGAAAATAAGGTAAAAAACTTTGCGGCTTTAGATTTTATTTGTTAGTTGTTTGCTTGTAAAAATTCGAAATACACATTCAAAAACGGACTTTGGGAAAGGGAAATGTTACTTAAACCTTCATTAAAAAGAATTAGAAAAATAGAAATGACCGTCTTAAGACTAATAATGGAAGAAACCTATTTAATTTATTTAATTTTAAATATTATCAATTATGAGTCCTTCTATCAGGTTTTCAACTAATTCTATTAAACTAAAACTATTAAAAATAAATGTTTCATTTTATAATC